CCCACTGGGGACACTCGAGGCTTTTCCTGCCCTTTGAGCCCCTCCAGGTGCATTTTTGGAAAATGGGGGCTGTGCCCATGCTGGAAAAATCTCCCCTGGTATTGGGGGGGGAAGCAAGAGGAGCAGCAGAGGAAGGCGTTGAGGGGTGGTGCAGGGAGAGGGTGACATGGATGGGGGCAGCAACTGGGAGCACTGGGGGGGGGAGGGGGGTCTTGGGGTGCTTTCCCAATGTTCCTGGCCTTGTTGTTCCCCTCTCCTGTGTGGACTGGGGAGAACAACCCTCCAGCCCCCCTAACAAGCTGGGGGCTTCATCCACAGCCCCCCCCGGTGTAAAGCAGCCCTTGGGGATGGAGAAAGGTGCCAGGACCCCGGTCCCAACATCTCCAGCTCCCAGCAGCTCCCAGTACCACCGAGGACCCGCAGCAGCACCACCCATACTGGGAGCAAGGGAGACAGCAGCGCTCTGTGGGTTTTGCCCCGTTTTTAACACCCTTTGTTTTCAGCAGGCAGGTCCGTGTCCCCCCACCCCACCCCCGTGTGGTTCTGCTCAGCGAGGAAACCTTGCAAGTGTCCGTAGGAGTCACCAGAGCTGAGGAAACCCACAAGAGGCCTCGCTCGCTTCTCCGCAGAAGCCGCAGCAAGCAAACCTGCGCCGCCTCGACGCCGGGAGCTCAGCCCCTCTTCTCCCCGTGCTGCGCCCGGAGGGGCCCTGGGGAAGGGAAGAACCCAAAGCAAAAGCCCTTGGGATCCTGGAGGTGACGGGGAGAGGTCGCCGGTGGCTGCACGGCTCCTGCTCAGTCTCGCTGAGCCGCGACGGTCAAAAAAACCCACCCCAAAAAGGTGAGCTCTGCACGGAGAGGGTAGCGGTGCCCGTGGGGCTTGGCTGTATTTTTCCCCCCCTTCCCGAGAAGATCAGGCTATGGAAAAGAAACTCCCTTGTGCTTTCGCCCTGTCCCAGGCTGGAGACAAGCACCGAACCTGCTCGAGAACAAAGGTTCGGTTTTGGCCACCGTCAGCTCAGGAAACGGCTGGAAAAGCCGCGGGAAATCCGCTCCGCCCTGCGCTTTCCTGCAGGGTAGGGGTCCGGCAGCACTGGCTCCTCCGAACGAGGAGGTGCTATGGGTTGGCCTTAGCCTGGATGCCAGGTCCCACCGAGCTGCTCCCCTCTTCCGCAGGACAGGTGGAGAGAAAATAAGATGGAAAAGGGGAAAAAAAAACCAAACCCAAGCAAACCAGCCCTCATGGGTCACAATTAGGGGCAATTTAATAAGCAAAAGAGAAAGCCGGGCACGGTAGTGAAAATAAAACAAGATTTTAATCTCTACCTCCTGTTAGTAGGCGATGTCCAGCTGCTTCCTGGGGGGCAGGGCTTAAGTCCATGTCACCATTTCTCGCAAACATCATAAAAAACCCACAAAACCACCCCAAAAATGCCACTCCCATTCTCCCTTTCCCTTGGCTTTTACATCCGAGCTGACGTCATACGGTATGGAACATCCCCCTTGGTTGGTTTGGGTCTTGGCTGTGCCCCCTCCCAAGATCTTGCCCACTGGTGGTGGGCGGGAGGGGGAATTTTGGAGATGCAGCCTTGATGCCACACGCTCAGCAGTAGCCAAAACACCGGGGCGTTCTCGACCCCTTCCAGCCCCCAGTGCTGTGCTTTGGGGGAAAATGAACTCCGTGTCAGCCCGACCCCATACAAAGGGAAATCCCAGGAGCTCAGGAGGAGCCCGGCGCCGGCACCGAGCAAATTCACTCATCAGGAAGCTTCCTGCAGCCGCTAGGAGCCGAGCGCGGTGGCGCGTCTGGCTCGGCGTAGCCGGTGGTCAACGCCCTGGCCGGTCCCTGCCCTCGTGACACTAAGGTTCAGGCCAACAGAGGTTGGGTTGGGTTGGGTTTGGGGTTGGTTTTTTTTTTTCCCCAGGAGCAAAAGCGAGCTCAGAGCCCGGCAGCGGTGGCGGTTTTGCACCTGGAGTTGCAGCTAAACCCCCCCTGCGCTCACTGTCGCATCCCAGCGTCGCTTCTCCTTGGTGCTCTGCTCTTCCACCCACCACGGCAGCCCACAAAGAGCTGCTTCTGCAAGCAAAGCCGCTTTTTGCCAAGAGGGGAGCAGCTTGGGGCAAGAGAGGAAGGTGCCTGAAGAGTCTTCCTCCCCTCAGGGTAAGCAACCTCCTCCTCCTCCTCCCAGTGCCAGACCAGTGCTGTCACCAGCGTGAACTAATAGCTGCGTAAGTTTGCTTTCCTACCTGCATTTA